CTCCTCAGACGTAACTCGTGAATGTAGAAATCTATGGGCGAAAATTTTGTCCGGTTTGCTCTATCTTGTACCGATCCGGCGATATGGGGCATTTCTTGGCGAAAACAACGTGAAAAAGACAAAATGGTCTATTAAATCGTAAAAAAGGCTTCATGTGACAGAATTGTAAAGAGAGTAATACCTAACCACACATTACGGGTCGAACGACGGCCTCTTTTGGGCTTAAGGATCCCTAGATTATATAGTATCACTAAACCGTGGATTTTTACATAACAATCTGTCAAAATCGAATTTTTAATGAAAACTGTTACCGTACTAGAGAAGTTCCATGTCCCTAATTTTAGAGTAATAAGACCCCGACAAATGTTTCGAGTATAACAAATTTTGGGCCCGGAAGGCCCTGTTTCCCTATACCCTCTCCTTAACTCGTCTCGGGTGTCAGCGCCGCAGACCTAGCTATATGTGCGCCAGGCGGGTCGCAGCGTAAAAGTGTTTCGTGAGATATGGCGAAGCCTGTTACGCGATACGTGGTCTGGCGTTCTTATAGCTATAGTTTTCCGGCTGACCACGTACATTAGGCCGTCTTAAAAAATAATAAGCCCACATTGGTATAAGAAAGAGAAAGTCCTCTTGACCAGGCCACATAACCCAAAGTTTCTCGTACAGCCCAAGTCAGCCACAGCGCCACCAGTATGTACCTCAATTCAGTAATCAATACCTCAGAGCAAAAACCTCTCAGTCTACCGAAGCGCAACGACAACCGCTGAGTCAGCCGGCCCCGCCCCATCAACCGCTCAAATTACTTTTTTGACACTTTTTTGACCGATTCCGATTAATTGGACCATGCTCTTCTCGATGGTGCAATCCAAATTTTTTTGTCAAAAAAGTCATTTGAGCGGTTGTTGTGGCAGAGGTGAGCATCGGGCGGTCCGCCTGGACCGGGATGGTCCGAAAACGACGGGTGGAAGTGAGACGCTCGAGCCGGCCAGAGCTCCATCTCACTCGCACTTCTCGCTTTCCGGACCATCCCGGTCCAGGCGGACCGCCCGATGCTCACCTCTGTGTTGTGGCGGGTTGGCGGACTAAGCGGTTGCGGTCCAAACCACTCGGCAGACTAAGTGGTTGTCAGAGCGCTTCGGTAGACAGAGCGATTTTCGCTCTCAGGTATCGTAATGGGTGTGATCTGATGTATAGTCAAATCTGGCCTGGTGACTGGAAAATAAGTGGAGTTGATTAGAAAAGTGACTTTTTTAAAAAAAGTTCCGACCAGAAACGGATCGTGAAAGCAGATGATACCTTGTCAAGAATTACTCTATTCCAGTTTATTAGTGGCCCGCCCTTCTGCTTTGAATTATTCTATTCCAGTCTATTATATTTCTGTATTTACACTTGTAGGGAAGGGGGGGGGCGGTGCGGGGGCTCCAGCGGTGCGAGGGAGGGGGAGGACTAGCGTAGACTAGCGCGGCCGACGGCTCGGGGCTCGGGCTCCGGTCGGCTCGGCTCCGCTCGGCTCGGTTCCGCCCGGCTCGGCTAGTGGCTCGGGCTGACGCTACGGCGGCTGGCGACGGCGGCTGGCGACGTACGCCGCCTCACCTCACGGCCCCGCCTAGCAGGCCCAGCCCAATACGTATATGAGCTTTCTTCTGGTTCTCTTTAATATTTCTTAATCGAGAGTAAAAGCAATGACACCTTACATTACTCATGTATAGTTATATGTATGTTAAGTGTAAGTAAGTTTAAGTTTGTAAGGTATCATCTGCTAAAAATTAAATAGGCGGTATTGTGACTGCGTGCACTCTAAATGTCCAAGGACAATTTTTGTAACTAACACCGGACTTCTGTGTGCATAACTAGCTCAGATACAATATTGTAACTACCAACACGCATTTAGTGACTAGCAAGTCACAATAGTGTATCTGAATTCAGTTATGCACGCAGAAGTCCGGTGCCAGTTACAAAAATTGTCCTTGACATTTAGAGTGTGTTCATAGCGAACTGGACCTTCCCATAACTCCAACGAATTGCCTTGAATGTTGACTGGACTCTCCGAGGTGGACTTTCCCCCGAATTCCTGCCTGGGTTTTGGAGTTCGCTTAACACAAATGAGCCCTAAAAGTTGGGCGCAGGCCTTTACTTGCAGTGAGCCGCGGCCCGGCAGCAGCCACCACAAGGTCGCGCCTCCCACGCGCCACGCGGCCATGACGCCGTCAGCGACCAGCACGAGCCGCGCCGTCCTCTCCGCAGCGCTGTACCATGGCTGTAACCAAGCTTTGCAGCTTGACCAACGTGTTGCAAAGAAATTGTTTGTAAGAGCGATTCTTTGAAAGGCTAGGAAGGTTCTTACGAACAATCGGTTTGCATGACGAACATTTTGTTCGTAAGCTTACGAAAAATTAGTTCGTAATACAACCCTTCATAATCGTTCGTAAGCTACGAATGTTTTGGATTGCAGTACGAACCTATTGTTGGTAAGCAAATTCCAGTGTAGATGTTAATAAGGGGGGATAGCCTGCCTAGTCCTATCACCCGTCCTTCAGTTCCGAGCGAATCGCTTGCAACAACATTAGATTCCTCTCAGGTTTCTAGCGGCCTTTGTAAACGAACAGTAGGAGGGGCAGAAATACGTTAAAAAGTATTGAGCTGAATTAGGTAGTTACCACACATTTTCCTCCAACGCCACTCTCAATGTCCGTAGAAAGAGCAGCAATGCTTCGGACTGTCTGCCTGAAGTTGTGCCGTCGAAGAGTTATCGTTGCTGACATATTTGAATAAAATGTACCAACGACTTTTAATCCTGAAGCAGCTGCCTGAGAATTCAATCGCATACGTTATAACACCAGTTCCACACCATGACAAATCATTTTGATTAGTCAACATTGCCCGTCAAATATTTGCAGTTGTTTGTTTTTATTTCGGCGTGAAAATGTGAGAGCTTTCCGTTCTCGAGTTCTTACAGACAGAACTCTCTGACAAAGGCTTAGGGTACCTGCTCTTGAGTCGTAATATTAATACTTAAGTTGTTACGGAACGACATTTGTCGTGTAAAAACGACCCGAGGGGTGGATAACTCCTGAATTGGGTGTGCAAATTTCAAGTGTTGAATTTGAATTGGCTTGAATTGAATTTGAATTGGACTGAATTGGTTGAATTGTTTTTGGATTGGTATGAATATTCTCGATTTTATTGTACTGAATTGACGCGAATTACTTAAATTGGCTTGAATTGAATGTAAATTGTCTTAAATTGAATGTAAATTGTATTGAATTGAACTGAATTAGTTGAATTATTTCCGAATTGAGTTGAATTAAATTGAATTGATCTGAATTAGTTTGAATTGGCAGAATTAGGGGTGTACACTAGTGTAATCCACCCCGGCCGTGGGCGCGCGCCGCAGCACAGTGCGGCCGAAAAAGTCGGACATAATTCCATTTTAGAAATCTCATACGTGGTGTTTTACTTTACGTAATCTTCAATGTTCAAACTATATAAACCGTTCAGTTCATATTTTTCCGTGCCCTACAACCATTTTTTAGCGCTCTCAAAGTTGACACTTCTACCGCCAAGAAAAACGGCGCACGGGGCCTCATAACCTACACTGTTTTGCGAAGCGATTATTCTTTACGTCAGACACGGAATCGAAGAAACTCCTTGCCTCCGACACAGTTGGAACCGTCGTCTTTCTTATTTTGTATGAGATTATGCTGGTACAACATATAAAAGTATTGAAAATTAGAATTTTCTGAGAACCTGCACTTATATGAACCGCGTAGGGAGTGCCGTCTATCAATTGAGTTATAAAACGATTTCCGTCGATTTCCGTTTTGTGGCGCATATGAGAAGAAAGCGTAAATCTCGTAGGATATGTTCCGTTTTTGATCGGCTGCTACAACCCGCAACATCGGCCGTACGATCGAAATAACTGCAGGGATGTATTCACTTTTAAATGGCGCCCGCCGACTCGCCCGCCGTCCCGCCCCGACATATTATTGAAAAACTGATAGATTATATCTAAAATACTTGCAAAATGGAAATTAACGGATCCAAAACCCATCCAAACGAAAATCTCGCGGCAGGTCGAGGACGGGCTGGGCAGCGCCGGCTAGAGTGATTATGTCCGTATTTTGTCCAATCGCCCGCACTGTGCGTCGGCGGGCCGTAGGCGGGCCGTAGGCGGGCCGTAGGCGGGCCGTAGGCGGGCCGTAGGCGGGCCGTAGGCGGGCCGTAGGCGGGCCGTAGGCGGGC